TCCCCCTGCACGGGCACACCACAGGGAAAGCTCTTGCACGCCTCTAGAAAGCACATCGCCTAAATTAAGCCCTTGGCATCCCAAGGATGATTTGGAGCGGGACTTGAAAGAGCTCTTGCACCAAGCACCCCTCTGTGAGTCCTTCCAGGTGGGAAGCAGGGAGGAGGAACGGTTTCCCTGTCCAAGGCCAGGGCAGCGAACCAAGGAGTGCCCTGGCACAGAGGGACACCGTTTCCCTTTCATGCCTCCGTTATCTGCGCTAATCTTTAGTTGCTCAGAACAATAGCATTTAAGGGTAACATCCCTCTCGGGAGGGTGGAGGAGGAGAGCGTTGCTGCTTTCCTGCCACACAAAGGCAGAGCCACCCCTGGGAGCATACCTTCACACTGAATCAGCCAGGAGACAGGTCAATGTCCCAACTGCTATCGGGGTCACCAGAGGGGGGAGAGCAGCTGCCCCCAGCCCCTTTCTGCTCCCGTGGCAGAAGCTACCATTAATCCCTCACCTCTCGAAAAAAATCTGCAACACTTCTACAACTGATACCCATCCCTTCCCCCGGCTCCTCCTGGGAATACGCCGGCTTTACAGCTAGTGGGGAAAGAGCTGCTAGAGAAATACTCCTTGTAACGTCAAGATGGGACTGTGCTTACAGCCATCAGCAGCTTGGCAAAAATCAAAGGAGAGAAGCTTAAGCAAAGGCTTCGAAGCATCGTGCCTCCATTCAGCCTGTACCTGGTGTGGGCCGCAGGCGTATCGCTGCTCCCGGGGGTAAACCACGTACACAAACCGTACAGGAGCGCCTCAGAAATCAGGTGTAGCACCCCAGACACGTACAAAAAGCTGCAGCTTCCACAGGGGAAAAGAAAGCACCTTGCTCCCTCCCACCCCTTCTGCTTTGGTGGGACGCCCCATTGCTGTTGAACGGGGGAGAGACCCCAGGGAGCGCTCAGGGGGACCCAGCTCCAGTTTCAGAGAGGCAGGATGATCAGGAAGACTGACATTACTGAGAGCAGCTGTGAACACAGAGCAGCAAGAAACAGTTTGTTAATTATTTCACAGGTCTTTTTTTAAATGACACTCCGTGTGTAACGTGGAGTGAGTTACAAATTTGAGTTCCCAGTGGCTCCCCTGGGAGGGAAGGAAACGTTATCCCTTTTGCTGAAAGACCGCGAGGTTAAGTGGGCTGCTGTGAGCCGTGGCCAGTGATGGGCAGGAGCTTTGCCTTCCAGGCGCCTGCTGTAATCACAGATCTAAGAAACATAATCAAACTGCACCGCACACTGAGAGGCAGCAAGGAAAACAGGCAGGGCCCCGAAGAAGGAGAAACGGGTAAATGGGGCGAAGAGTGAAGCTCTGAAAACTCCCCTCTTCATCGTTCTCAGTCTAGCGGCAGGGAAGGAAGCTGCAGTGGAAGTCATTCCAATGGCATTTCCTGGAGAGCCCTGCAGAAAAGCCTCCCAGGTCGCAGGCAGGGTGAGAAGCTGCCAGGGATCTGCACACTGAGCCCAGATCTCCAGCCATCAGCAAAGATACAGCTACCTGGGACGGCCACGCCAGGCAGGACAGCCCCAGCCAAGATCCTGCCGGCAGCAACCGTCAGTTCCCACAGCCAAAGAAGAACACCCCGTACTGTGAAGGGACACGAGGGACTCAGCTGGCAAGGGAAGAGTATTTTTTTCATCCCAAGCAGGTGATGACAATGGGGGCATCGTCTCAGCTGCAAGGGATCCAGACCTTAAAAGAATTAAAGAAAACAAAGTGGAAAGCAGTAGCCCAGCTAAGCTTTGCAGACCACTGGTTGGGATTCATCTTTAAGACAGCAAAGCATGGCCTTGGCTATCTGCAGCCACCTCCTGCAGCCCACTCTGCTGCATGTTGGCCAGCAAGTGAAACTGATGGCTGTGATCTCAAATGGGATTAGCAGTGCTGGGGCACCCCTGAAACCCAACGCGTTAACACTCAAAATGGCAGAGCTTTGGCAAACTGCACTCACCCCAGAGGAAGCCGCGCTCCCCATATGGTGCAACGTGCAACTGTGCCTCTTCCACGTCTGCCGTGCACACCTAGCACGCTGCTCCTCTCTGAGTCTCAAGGCACAACAACAGCGGAATTCAAACTTGCACTTATCTCTCACTGCCCAAAAAGCTTGGACCGACAACGCACGAGGATCCTGGGGCACTCGGGACCAGCTAGCTAACACGGTGGCTGGGGGAAGGCTTGTGCGGGATAGCTGGGCAATGGCACAAGGCCAAAAAGCATTTCTGAAGAGCTGAGAGTAGAAGGCTAGCCCTCAACCTGAAACCATTGAGAAGGTTAGAGTGAGAGCACACGACGAAATCCCAGCTGCACTCTGTCATATGACACAGACTGAGTCATTTCCTATCATTCAAGAAAAAAATTAAAAAGATAGAAAATGAGTTTGCTATATTGACATCTTCTAAGGGTTTTCCCCAAACAGAACCACAAGCTTCCAGTCCACCACAGAGCGACACAACACGTATGTCCTGGCACACCAAGCCCTGCGCAGCCAGGGCCAGCTGAGAGCCCGGGACGCACAGAGCCAATGTGGGAAGCAGTCTGTCCTGCTTCAGCCTAGCCCAGCTTGTCAGGATTCAGGTGTGTCAGAGCAGTGACAAAGGTGCTGTTTGCTTTCAGTCCTGGCCTGACACAGCCCCTTCAAGCTGGTCTCCACCACACACCCTGCAAACAGGAAACCTCTTACCTCTATATCCACAGATCTACCTCCAAGCCCCCCACAGAACACCTCCTTTAAACCCCACTCTGAACATAGATTTAGCCTTGAAAGAAAAGCTGTCATCCCCTGGAGGCTGACGGCCAGGCAGGAACTACTGCTCACTTTCCTTTCTCAAACAGATTAAGTACGGTCAGTACACCTCTGCCTGCCAGGCTCTCTCCTGTTCACTGGGATCACTGTTTGAACTGGGCCAGCCAGTGGAATCTGGTCCTGGCCAAAGCAACTGCCTCAGGAAAGCCGCCTCTTTGGTTTGCTGGCTCACCAAAGCAGCAGCTCTCTTCCGGCTAGTTATTAAATACCCCCCTTGGGTTGTTCTTGTTTGTTTTCTCAGTGCCACATTGCAGAGAGGTGGGAAAATCAAGGCAGGGCCAGTAAACGTGACACAATACACCCATGTTAATGCTATGTAGCAGGATTTACCATTTCTCCTTTGCCTCAAAAAATGGTTTGCCAGGAAAACTACCACAGCCCAGCACACAGCAGCCTTAGCAGGCCCCTCCAAAGAGAAACCTGCACTCCGCAGTCATCCTACGCTTGCCTTTGTTCCACTGGTGGGGAATGAAACAGAGCTTCCTACGCAACCAGGCTGTGCGACACTTGTGATGGAGCCGCGCTCCTTCCCTCTTTCAGAGGGGCTTTCCAGGAAGAGAAGCGCTGCAACGCTCCAAAACACAACCACCCTGTCCCTGCCAAGCAGGCCTGCCAGAACTTGCATCCCTCTCAGCGGGGCCTGCCTGCTGCACCTCTCAGGAGAGCTTTGTTTGCATGGGACAGGCTCTAACAGCTCAGATGCACCAAACAGGCTCCCTGGGCAAACAGGGCGGCAGGAGAGGGACCGCTGTGTCACAGCAAGTGCAGGCTGGCACTCTCTTCTTGCAGGGAGAGCTGGCAGCAGGCCAGCAGTTTTCTCCCTGCAGCTGGAATTGCGTGAGTGCAAAGCAGAGCATCCCCACGCATGAGGCACTCGGGAGCTCTTATGGCCCCTGTGCTGCCGCTGCACTGTGCCGTCCCTTCACGTGGAGCGGCACAGCTGCCCCCTGAGAAGGGACGCGGTGAAACCTGAGCGCAGAGGAAAAGCTATGAGACATCAAACAAGCACCCACCAGGTCAGGGTTTACAACAGCCTGGCAGCAGCCACACTGCCCAGCTCTTTTTTTGGTGCCTGGTAGGGTGGGATCCCCCCCCATTACAGCCTTCACCACCCTGCCTGGCTTCCCCTCAGCTACTGGCACAGTCTGGGCAGCAGCAGTGAAGTTAAAAGCTCCGTTCAAGGTTAGAAGAAGGGAGGAAGGCTGTTCCCCTGGGTGGGAAACAAGGCTACCGGCAATCTTCAAAGCCAGAGCTGGTGGGCGGGTCAGAGAGGAGTCCTGACCATTCTGCAATCTGTTGAACAAATATTTGCTCCAAACAATGAATTTACAGACAGACACAAAAAAATTGAAGAGTCTTAACTGTGTTGGTTGGGGGTGGGGAAGAGAAGGAGGAGGTATTTCATTCCCTGCAAGCAGGGACCAGTGATTTTCCACCAGTGATTTAATCTAAATCCCCCAGAGAGCTCATTTACAAAAAATCAGATTGCATTATCGCCTAGGTCTCCAGGATACAGCCCAATCCGTCACTAACAGCAACAGCCACACTAGCTTGGAAACCTCAATTTGATCACTCAATTCCAAGACTAATCTGTGGCTTTAAAAGCCAAAGCCAGAGGGAGGGGGAAGGAACTCAGCATTTGGCCAGGGTTATCTGCAGGATGAGAGAGCTAATGGGCCAGATACAGCCTGATGAAATGGCTAGCAGAGCCTGGGTTATTAATCGAAACCAAGCTCCTCTGCCTGAGCAGCCCCACCCAGGCAGTGCCCCAGGGCGGCCACATTCCTGGAATTCCTGCACCCTGGGTGAACCTGCTCCCTCTCCCTGGGTGCACCAGTCTCCCTCTTCTCCAGGGTCCCTGGCATCACCGGCCAGGCATGAGGAGCCGGGGAGCTCTGCAGGGCTCCTGTGCCTCCCTTCTGTCAGGAGGGTGCAGAGCACAATGCTGGGCTCAAAGGTTCCTGCCCACTCCTTGAGATGCAGGGGCCTGGTGATGGACTGTGAGATGAAGAGGGCTGAAAGGCCTTAGCTGGTTTAGATGCTAACGCCTGGCAGCATGAACTCTTTCCAGTGGGCACCAGTAAAGGTTACACCAGCAGGGAATCACTAAGATGCAGAAGCAAAAAGAAAACTCAGACATCTGTAGGTCATATACCCCCCGCTGGCAGTTGCAGGCAGCACCGCACAGCCGGACCCGGCATTTCAAGAATGCTTCCTGAAGAAATGCTTATTCATGTTAATACCTCACCATTCAACGCGTAAGGGGTTTGCTCTGGGGCAGCTGGGAGCATTGCTCCCTGCCAAGTAAGAAGCAGCTGCAGGTTTAGCAGCTCCCCAGCACAGAGGTTGCTCCCACCTCAGCCCCAGCTCCCACCACACCAGATCAGACAGGCCCTGCAGCCCACCCACCCGGATCTGCTGTGGGATTCACTCCACCGTGAGCACGGCAGAAGTCCTGTCTCCAGAATGAAGAAGTAGCTGTTACCCTGGCAGACCGCAGGCTGGCCCGCCGGATCACTGTGCACTTGGAGAGGAGGAAGCTCCACTCCCTGCTGTTAAATGACACCAGGAACATGCCTGAGAGCAAGGGCTCCCGCTTGAAGAACAAGCTTGGATGACGTTACATTTCCAAAGGCTCTTGGAAATCAGGTCTTTTACATAACATCCAGGGAGAAGGAGAAAAAACAGGGATGGAGAAGGACACATCTGAGCATAAACTGTTTGTCTCATTGCAGTAGACTGACCCTCTTCGGGCAGAGTGCTAAGAGCACAGAGGGAATGGCCACACGCCCCTTTATCTCCCTGCAAGGTCTAGGACATGCGATAGCAAAAACATTGCAGGGAACTGCACTTCGGTTTGACCGGCACCACCGCCAGCGTGGGGTGAGGGGGAACATGGGCAGCCATCCCCACCGCAGAGAGGGGTTCTTACCCATCCGCCATTCTCTTGGATCCAGGGATCTAGGTGGTCGGTCAAGTATGTGGTCATCCAAGATACAATGCGTCCCACCAATACCCGCATCTCCTTGTCAACGCTCTCCACACACAAGGCTCCTCCGAAGGAGAAGAAAGCCACGATGCGACCCCAGTTCACTCCATCACGGAAAAGTTCATTCACTACCTGCTCAAAGCTCTGATACGCCGTGCCGGGGGTGATGTGAAGCTGGGAAGTGAGGTCGCTGAACGCCCGCCGGTACCTCAGCTCAAACTCATCCCCTGCCTCCCTCAGCGCCTGCCTCACATCAGCTGCTTGAACAATTTCATGGACTTCGAGGCTGCTCCGGTGCACGGTGGCTCCATTCACTACGTGGCTGGCAGGCGGGTGCCAGGAGGGGCTCCCGTTGAGGACACCATCCATCTCCGCCTCCTCCGCTGCAAAGTCAGTCCTGTTCTCATCCTCCTCCTCCAGCTGACTCCAGCTGTATCCCTTCTGCGAGAGCTTGTAGGAAACAAAGTCAATCACTAACTCCCGGTTACTGCTGGACATTTTCACACCTGGGACGCCCTCAATGAGTCCATGGTCTGGAGCACAAGCAAATCAGCACTTAGCAGGTCCCGACTCCACTCTTCTTCACAACTGATGGAAACATCTGACCTTTGTGCAGACAAACACCAGAAGAGAAGCAAAGAAATGGTTAACACTACAGTTTTTAGGTGCACCCGTGCCCTTAACATCGACAGCTTATCTTTAGACTGAGATCATCCCGCAGCTTTATGAGACATAGGGTCACCGGATTGAAGCTGCACGGAGAACCGACTGCAACACCCATCTCCCGAGAAACCAACCTGGAGCCCCCGAAGATCCCCTGGCCCGCTCCGAGACGCCCCCGGCTCCGGGACTCACCGGATGCGGGCAG